ATTATACAGTATACAATATAGTATCATAATTTATGAAGTTTGTAATTATAATAATTTATGCTTAACAGAATAACAAAATGAATTTTTTATTTTTATCAATATTTATTCTATCTTTTTTATGTTTAAAAATTTTATAAATTTTATTTTGCAATTTTCGCAAGTGAGATTATAAATTGATTTATTAGATTTTACTGTTTCTAAAAAACAATTATTTCTTTGTTCATTGATCATCAATCATTTGTTTGAAGGAGATCGAAACTTCATTAACTTTGTCAACTTTATTATTATATATCCATGACACACAACTCGTTAGTTATTATAGTTCGCGTTATTACAATAAATAACAATACATCATGAGAAACGAGAATTTTAATACGGAATGAACGAGGCTATACGTTGGCGGCATTTGGTTTTAGAGCGAAATTAAATCTATAAAATTTTTTTTGTTTTTCAGCGTTTTACAATGTACGCAAAATTTTATTTTCCTTCGCTTTGCTTATCCCGGTACATTATGAAAAATTGTAGGTGTTCCGGAAGGCCTCAAAGTGAAAAGCTCTTTCATAAAATTCAATTAAACCGTAAAATGCGTCTGAGAGAGAGAGAGAGGGAGAGAGAGAGAGAGAGAGAGAGAGAGAGAGAGCAAAAAAGAGAAAGAGTATATCATTGTTTATCAGGACTTATTTCAAATAAATTTATTTAAAATATATATTTTAAATAAAGAAAATATTAAAACATTATTTAATATTTATTATTTTAAATAAGTTTTTGAAACTTATTTTATATTTTTTATTTTAAATAAGTTGTATCAGTTTTTTATTGATTTATTGTATTTTAAATAATTTTCTGGAACCTATTTTATATCTTTTATTTTAAATAAATTATATCAGTTATATTACATTACCGATCCATCACAATAAAAGTAACAGTGAGTAGTTAAATTATAACATATTTATGATGAAGTGTAGCATGTGTAGTACAAGATATACCTGCATATGATCCATTTCAATTTTCCACTTGTGGTTTGCAAAGGATTAATATTATTAAATATTAATTACAGGCTATAGTTATAAAAAAACTGAAACGTTTACTTATCAATGTATATTCATATATTCAAATAAATAAAATCAATCATATTCAAATAAATAAAAAAATTAAAAATAGAAAAATAGGCTCGCGTACATGCGACGCAATATAAGTCAAGGCTTAATAAGAAATATAAGGAATTAAAAGACTTTTCTAATGATATATCATTTGAGCCCCTTTCCCATTTGAAATTTTTTAAAGATTGGCACCTTCGCTTAGAGGGTTAAAGTTGAGAGTAAGAATTATACGTCGAAAGCTGTCTCCCTACAAATAAAAATTTATGTATTTTTGCGTTTTTTCAAAAAAATTATTTTAATAAAAGATATTCTTCTGATAACAGTCTTCTGATAACTGTTTTGATAGGCCATCCTGTATAAATTCACTTTAAAATATTATTATTATGTAGTATATAGTTATTATTATTATGTAGTACAAAGTTATAGTTTGAAACGAGCAATAGCAGTTACTTTTGAGAATTAGTAATTAGTAACGATAACTTATTACTTTTTTTACTCGATAGCGAGTAACGATAACTAATTACTTTTAAAATGTAACTTTCTATTTTCTGTATAATCCAAGATAATTTAATACAAAATATTAAAAGCAAAAAAAATATCAAAAAGATAACAAAAAGATATTGTTTTTAGATTGTTTTTTGATAAGACGAAAAGATAACTATAAGACGTCTTTCATTTTTCTCGAAAAGACAATTTAAAAAAAAACATCTTTTTGTCATTTTCCTATGATTGTTGTGATCTTTTGCACAAAAACTCGACTAAAAGATATCTTTTTGTATCACCAAAAAGACATGAAAAAGATATTTTTCCGTTACTTTTCATCACTTATCCGCGAGTATGTAAGATCACCACCAAACAGATGTGGTGAAGTTTCAGTTTGAAAGTCATACAGAATAGAATAAAAGTGAAGCATTATGAGAAATTTTACGTGTTCTAATAAACATTAATAAAATATTTTTTTAAAGGGTTCATAAAGAGGATTGTGATAAAAGATAATGGCTTTTGCATACAGGACACGGTAAGCATTGCAAGATTCATAAATAGGATGCATATTGAGTCATATAATTTCGTTTTATGTAAAATTTATTTTGGGGACTTGATGTTATTAAACATTATGTGAACGAAAATATAAAAATTAAAAGAAATCTTAAAGACGATTAAAAGATAACTATAGAAGTCATCTTTTAATTATTATATGGATAAGATTATAATGATGAGTGCAATATTGTCGTTTTTTGCGTCGATTTTTTCATCAATCATACTCGTTTACTAAAAGATATCTTTAACTTTTTAATCATTTTTTAAAAAAAACGATTTAGTCATATTTTAGTCATCTCTTAAACTTTGTGCCTTCTAGGTATACTATGTAATTTGTTTTCTGTTTTTGCACTAGACTTGCACTCTAAAATTCTCTTTCTCGCTTTCGATATCAAACATATACCTTTCTTTAAGTTCCAAAAATGTTCTTTAATTCAGTCATAGAAAACGGACCTATAGAATGACTTGTTAGCACGCTAACATCCTTATAAGCACAT